TTACACCTTTCACAGGCAGGAGTCTTATCACATTTCTATTGCTTACACAACTAAAACTTTCACATGTTTTAGTATACGGATCTAAAAAGACTCTCCCACCAATGGGCCCTCACAATAGGATGAATATCTCAGGTCACCTATCATGTTACACCTTTTTATAGGTGCCTAAAGTCCATGGATCATGATGAATTATTTGAGTTTCAGAACTCATATAAGCACAATTTCCACAGGACTATCCCAAGCTAAAAATTGTCTTGGGCAAAAAAAATATTTGAAACTAAATCGAATACAAATTCTAACATGGCAGATAGATGATTGGACCCCAAAATCTGTTTACACCTTTCTACCAAGTAACAGAATTTAAATGAGAAAATTAACTACTGGTTAAGACTCACTTCTCAGGCTCCTTTGGAGCTGGTTGTGACCATGTGCCCAAATGATCGCCATTAGGGTATGAAGTGGAAGTAGTCTGTACAAATTTCTTAAAGGAAAGGAGACTGCCCTCTCCCTTTCCTTCTTATTGCCTGGAGTCAGACACAATGGCAACCGCCTTGCATCAGAGCCGCATGGCAGAGTAGGACAAAGGAGCTTTGGTCTTAAGAGCCTCCAATAACCCCTGGACTGGTTACTTAAGATTTTTCAAGAAAATACTTATGTGATTCTATTTCTTCAAATGTCTGTCACAACAAACAAATCTATATCCTAACTAATATATCTTAACTAGACAAAGGCAAGTAAAAAAGTACTGCAAATAGGGTTCCAGTTCATATAAACACAGGTTTACTCAAACATAATGCATTTAAACAAGTCTGCGATCGGCAGATGACTGCAAACAAGTTCTCTCTGTACTTCAATTGTCTTAGTCTCTTTAGAGTGTCTTCAAAAAAAAGAATTATTTTTTGTGAATGGGACGAAAATATGTTGCATTCAGGGATAATATCAAATTTTTAACAAAACTCAAGAGGACACCTTCCCAGATCATTAAAACTTTACAACCAATTTACATGAATGCCGCCCCATGAAAAACAACAACTTCAGATGGATCACTTTACAGGCCAGAAGGATCTCAATTATGAATTCAAAGCACAGATGTCACAGAAGGTTATGGCGATTACTTTGTGGGATCCAAAGGGATTATCTTCATAAGATTTTTCTCAAAAGACAGAGGACAATGGTGAGGGTTGTGGTGCACTGACTGACTAGCCAGTCTTGTAACTCCCACCAAATGACTGGGTCGGACATGCAAATAGGGAGTGTGGATCTCAAACACTGCCATCCTGCTAGATTTTAAATGAGCTGCCTCAGAAGTAGAAATGAGGAATCTCACTATCATCGAGGAAAAAGAGCCAGGAGAGAACATATCCTTTGGACTCCAAGTGCCTTGATCGAGGAGCCCAAGAGGTGTGACTCCAGAGGAGTGATGGTGGAGTAGCAGACCAGGGCAACGGCAGAACCAAGAGATAGAACACTGGGCCCTTGACCCATGGAACAAGTACAGCTGAGTGCCTTCCAGCAGCAGGTCACTTGCTGAATGGGGAGCCTCCAGTTACTTGATTGGTAGAGATAGGTTTGGTGGCCCATGGAGTCAGAGCTGAGTGACTTTGGGCTAAGGCTTATGGTAGAGTGGAATGCCTTTTGGGCACACATCAGCAACACTAAGCTTTGTGAAACTGCTCAAGCAGGACAGAGGACAAAGACCTCGGCTGAGAAGCTGAGGACCAAAGGGAGGCATAACTGTAGGCACAGCTGAGATGACACTGTCCTGGATGAAAAACAGTAATGTAAGCATTGCTGATCGTAAATTGTAACCTGTTAACTTCCTTCATAAATATTATAATACAGAATATTGTCTGTGAATTCTGTGTGGTCATTGCAATGAATTATCAAGTCCAGCAGAGAATTAGAGCATGGAGAGACAGCTGGTGTCAAAATTGCTAAAGATGATCAGAGGAAGGCAAAGGTATGTCTGACCTCCTCCCCCTCCTAAGAACCAGTCTTGGGCTGATGTTGAACTTCATTCTTCCTTTCCCCTTGCAAAGTCAGAAGAGGTCAGACATCACCCTTGTGACATTATTATAGGAGCTTACAATGAAGACTTTTTCAAAATCTGAAAATGCATCGGTGAGGAAAAAGGCCAAGAAAGCTGTGCCAAAGAATTATGTTCCATTGCACCAATGCACCTGCTCAAGCAGGGGCTGTCCTACGAGAGTTTCATCGAGAGACCTTAATCCATCCACCCTGTAAGTCTGATCTTGCACCTTCAGACTTCTTTTTCTTTCTAAAACTCAAAGACCATTGAAAAGAAACACAATTAGAGCTCTTTGAGGATGACAAAATACAAACTGGAGGATAGAATTCTTTAGAGAA